GACTCTAGATGTGGCTATTATTATTTAGCAATTCTAGTGTCAGATTGAAGAGGTGTGTCTTTAAAAGTATAACGCAACGAGCCGTACTGGTTGCTTTTCTACAATTTAAAATTAGAACGTAGCAAGTTGAAGCTTGGGCGGGAACTGACAATAACTGCTGTATCCCTAATTAATTTGTCTCTGTGAGGAATAATGCATGTCTGACAGTTTGGTATTGAACAGTTTGGCACATAAAGCGACTGGCATCAGTGTAACTTGGTCATTTCAGGCTGAATGTGAGAAGCAGTGTACTTCTGAGAAAACTGGCATCATGTGCTTTCCATCATTAAATGTGATTAATAACCTTGTAGCAGTGGTATGGAAAAGCTGCAGCCTGCCTCTAATGTTTTTGGAAGAATATTTACTGGACTACATTACTGCGGTAGTCGAGCCTGCCACAGATGAATGCCTGAACACGTTTTTCAGGATCATAACAAGTCAGAAAAACAGCCGTCTATCTAAGATGAATGATGGTGGCTCACAGTCTGTCTTATAACTTCACTTCTTCACATTAACATATAACTTAAATATGAAATCAAAAAGGGGGAGGGGGGTACAGTATCTTCTTTTATAATTACATTGTAATTACACAATGTAACTACTTAAGCAGAGGTACTTAAAAAAACTGAACTCATGTAAGTCCAGTGTAGTTAATATGTAAAACAACAACAACTATTTTCCATCTATTTTTGCATCTTGAAGAAACGTTTTGCTAATTAAAGTGCTTTTGTGTTGCTGCGAGGAGCCATCAAGTTGCGAATGAACCTGTGACTGAACAGTTTTATGATGCATTTAATGTTGGACAAAGATGTGTATCTTTATCTGTTCCTTCCTCTTTAGCTTTATGGCCATCACACTATAATTTCTTTTTTATTATGCCATGCTAATTGAGGGAAATCATAGTTTGGTCATTCCTCACAGTTTGTGCCTCCATTGGCTTTAAATTGTGTTCTTCCTCGTCCGCCCACTCGCAGAGCTGTGGTAATTTACTTCTAATTGGCAAGAACTTGTTGACCTTAGGCTCCCAGATTGATATGGTCAGGAGGTTAATGCTTATGTTAATGTGAGAAGGTGATGGTTCCTCTGTTAGCCGTGTGCTAACCGCAACAATTGAGTAATAACAGAAGCACTAATGGTGCTTGTACAAGCTCATCATTGCAGGTGCCTGCGAGATAGCAGCGATACCTTTGACACTCGGTTCACGCTCAGATTTACTTGAAACACTCTGACCTCGGCTCATGTGGAGCTGAATTGCTGCACTGTGTAGTGGAGCTGCACGTAATGACCGTACCTGGGTCACACATAAAGATTCCTGCTGCATACAATCGTGTGCTACCTCCGTGGTTACACCATGTTTCACGTGTGTGCATTACTATGCATGGAGAATTGGATTTGTTTTGCCTTGTATACTCATCAGTTTAAGAAACCAGCCATCCGTCGCTTTTTTAATCTCCATAATGAAAGTGTTTTAATGCCTCCAATTTATTGCCTGGGCAGCCAACAGAATAATTAGCTTTGTTCAGGTTTTTAAAAAGATGAAAACACAAGTACAACAACATTTGAGTCTGAAAATCACAAATTATAATCAAATGCATTAGTTATTGTACCTGAAGGTATATTGGACAAGAAAAATGGATTTCTACTGTGGGTATTGCAATTATTCTTTTTTTTTTAAATGTAATTTTCTTTTGTTTTCTTTCACCTATTTGCTTCTTTAACTTTAATGGTAGGCTTCTATCTTTTTTAAAAATATTGTAATCCCATCAGTGTTTCCTTATGTCACACCAACATAAAGACTTTTTCCACTATAAGTCTAAATAAAGAGGCTTCCAAGTCTTTATTGATTCTCTGTGACCTGAAGTCGATTCCACAAACTAAATCAGATAATTGAAGTCGGCGTCGAGCTAATTGGATTATTGCTTTCCCCCTGAAGAGATGGCCCTCCGCCGCGGCACAGGGATCGCTACATTAGTGGCGTCCATCAGACATCTGTCATTTAACAGCACAGGATCGTGTCTCACAGCAAGGAGGGTGAATTGATTATGAATGGGGGAAAAAAGTAGTAATTTCTTTGATTAGATGATTTGCCTGACAATCTTATCGCCATGTGATAGCCGTCATTTTATAACTCATACAGAAGCCGTTTATTGTTAAGCATCTCCTTGTGTTCAGATTTCGGAATGGATTGCAGTAAAAGCATCAATGCATCTGTGCAATTAAAAAACTTTTAAACTCATTTAATGGTAAATTATGTCAACACGTTTGGCAGTAAACAGCAGCACAGATAGCTTATCAGTAGAACTATTTCCATTGGATAAAAGCTACATAGGAGGAGAAGAAGAAAACCCTTCCTCTTGTGTCTATTTGCCTCCAGTCCTCCAAGCATGGTTTATGCAAATGAGATGACTATTTGCATAGACATAATTAGGTAATTACAAATCATTTGGCTATGAGCTCAAGCATGTGCAGAGACCAGAGACGTTACACGGGTACAGTACAGAGTTAATGAATTGCTGCTGAACAGCAGAATCATTACAGCATGTGTTGGAACATATGTTGTGTCAGACCTCTTCTTTGCAAACGACAGGTGACATTTTCATAAATCTTAGTTAAACACAGTGAATAGATGGAAAAATGGATTCAAAGCAGCCTGGTTTAAAAATTTATCTGTGTGTTATGACGAGGAGGAAAAATTGGGGGATAAAGGATTAAAATTTTGGCAGTAGATTTTAGCATTCAGACAATTCATAAAATAATTTTTAAGGATATATGACACAAATATTTATAAGCACCTGCTTAGCTTGGATTAATAACTGTTGCTGGAGATGTGGCAGTTAATTTACAAACAATATAAAACATCTACAAAAACTCTTTGAAAGCTAGTAATGATATACTCTGTATGAAACCCAAATCTGGCCTTATTTGGTGTTCCGACTGTCTAAATCTTCAATTCTAGACACATTTTTAAGCTGCCTAAGATTTCATTTAAGTCCTGCTATAATACTGTGCAAAATCACTCTAATGAATGGCAGGTGTGTCACAGGGCTTAAATGTAAGTGGTGCTCCCACACATTATTGCTTATTGACTAGTGGTTCCCTCTGTGACTGGGGCTAAAGTGACAGATCTGAGGGAGTCCCTTTCAGTTTCTGTTTATAAAAACTTACCAAAATGGTGTGTTAATTAAAATAATATTTATACACACACACACACACACACACACACACACACACACAAACAATTAGATTTACATTTCCAAAAAAGAACTGGGCAAAGTTGCGTGTGCCATTAAAGTTGTAGTGCGATTAGTCAAAGTAAGTATCAAATTCCTATGGTGAGAACCAAGATAGTCCCTTCTATGAGTTGAGCAAGTCAAGTCACTGCTTAAGTTATTCAAATCAAAGCCATGAAATGCAAAATTCTGACTGTGTCCACGAGTTAGATGTCGCATTTGGTTTGGAGCGGCTGCTTACTCCACATCCATAAATATATCTGACATTTGTTGACAATTAGTAAGCCTCCTGAAAGAACACACGTGGAAAGCAGTACCACATTAGCTTCAAAATACTCAAAAGGAAAAACAAATATAGCACAAAAAACTTGCAACAAAATGTTAAGCATCACATCTGATACTGCCACTGTTTGTCTGCTTCATTGTTTACAGTCGTATAGTGAGTCATAGCTAAATAATATAATTAAAGTGAATCCACAGATGATTATAGATATATTTTATATTATCATGGGAAGCATTTTTTAAAGTTTTAAGTTTAAAACACATAAATAAAAAAAAGGAACAGGATTGATATTTTTCCTCCTCTACTTTTTGTTTTGATCCAGAGGATGCTTAATAAAGATCGAGAGCTAATCTTGGGCTATCATATTTAAGTGAGAGCTGTACAAACATCATTTTATCAAATGCACATTGTCAGCTTTAAGCAATGAACTCTGTAACTGTCAATAAAGCAGTCTCTGCTTTAAGAAGTAAGAACATGAGCTGTAATGCCATTCTTCTAGTGCTCTGCTCTAACTAATCTGACCAGTGCTAGAGCCTCATATCAAAAACTGTAGATGACAATTGCCTCCCAGACTAGTCTTTCTGGTAAGACATAGGCAAGAGTTGACCAATCCCAGAGTTTTAAGAGAACGTATGTGTCTGCTGGTGAGATTGCCTCTGATAAAGCATCATTTAGTTGCATCTTTGATTACAGAAGGGTTGACGACTCAAAGAATAAGCAATGTCTATCGATGTGTTTGCACAGATAGCTTCTGTAGAGCTCAAATAGTGATCTCTCAGATATCCACTTCCAGTGTGCTGGCAAAAGGGGAGGTGAAAGTTGGTGACCTTGACTTCAGCAACCTCAAGCAGATAATGCTCGAGACTCTACAGGTTATAAAGCTAACTTTGCAGTGACCCAGATGCGGTATAAGTATTTTTTCTGAGTCTCCAGTGTTTTCCTTTTCTTTGTTTTCTTTTTCCTTTTTTTTGGCACATCTGTATCAACACCAGCAAAGCTAAAAGTAGAAAAGCAATTCAGATAAAGTCATGAGAAGACTAACTCTGATTGTCTTTTAGCAATGTGTTTCAAGTTGAACCACCGACACAAATTTTCTGTTTAATGTTGGATGTGTCACCGATTTCTGAGCTGAACTTCAAATCATCTTTTTTAGGTCTAATTCATGACTATCAGTGTCAAGTCAAGCTAATATATTAGCTGGTCAACTTTGCAGCACGTCACTCTCATGCAATAATTCTTGTCTATCTGTACTATTTATTGTTAAAAGAGGCTAAAATGACCAAAAGATGTTTTATAAACATTCTTGCCAAGCATCCCCTTAGTTCAAGATTTTGAGGTGATCAAACAAAACGCCCGTGCCAGGCAGCATTGTGTTCAGTGTGTTCACAGTGTGTTCACATCTAACTAAGTACTAATTTATTGTGTGTCTTTTTTGTTTTGTTTTCCAGAGCAAGAGGATTCCTTTGAGTTCGTGATTGTGTCGTTGACGGGTCAGACGTGGAACTTTGAAGCGTCCACGTATGAGGAGAGGGAACTGTGGGTCCAAGCTATCGAGAGCCAGATTTTCGCCAGCCTGCAGTCTTGTGAAAGCATAAAGAACAAGGTACAGTTTGTCATGAAGGATAAAGACTATCAGAGGAACTGGACAGGGTTGGCGATTATCATCTAATCAAAACATCGTCATGATCGTCATCATCGTGCTACATTTCTCCCACTTAATTTACATTCCTCTTTTTCTCCTTCTTTCCAACCTTTATCACGCCTTCACCCTCCTCTCTTCCCCCACTTCAAGCTGTCACATGTGGGAGGTTGTCAGACAGGTGCACCGCAGTGTGGGGGATCTCTTATTAGAAGTGACAGACATCAGAGCTAGAACACGGCTTGTGTCAGCATACTGGGGAGACACATCCTAATTTTCATATTCATATTTTCTCTGCCTGTGTCTTTTCCCGAGACTTTGAAAAACCTTTTCTCTCTCCCTTTGCTTGTTGGCTATTATTTGAGTCCAGCTATAATTGTTTGCTTTCTCGTGATCTCCAGTGAAATAATTAGTTCCCGTTGATTTATTCTCACCTTCATTTCTCACAGTCTCGGTTGGGCAGCCAAAGTGATGCAATGGCCATTCAGTCCATACGAAACGTGAGGGGGAATAGCTTCTGTGTGGACTGTGACGCACCAAGTGAGTATAACTCTCTACGGTTAAAACACATCTGAACACATTGTCTATTACATATGAAATACAGATATTAAAGGAACAGATTAAAGACAAAAAACCCAACATTCTTCCCCTCTTTTGGTGACATAACAAAAGGTAGTAGAGGTCAAGATTTTGAGAGGGTTTTTTAATCTTTAATTTGTCACGTCGTGCGTAAAAGCAAACAAACAAAAAAAAACTTCAGTTTTCATACTCCTGTAACCAGATTCCTTAGTTTTGTCAAAAAATACATTAAAAACTTTCCATACAACGCACTTACAGTGCAACAGGGCACAAAAAACTCCACTTAGAACATTAAACAGTTTGTAGGAGAGCTGGTAATGCTATATGAAAATTATAAAGTCATATTATTAGATAATAAAAGTGGGTTGGGTTTGCATTTGGAGGTGCTGCTACATTTGGGAAGCTGCAAAAAACTACATTTTGGGGACCAAACAGCAGCTGAAAAGGCTTTATTTGATATCGAGTCATTTCTACCAGCTTTCCTCAAGTTAGATCTAGTATTCAGCACTGTTAGAAGTACTGCATCTTGCAGTTTTGGCAGATGCTGATTATTCTTGTCTGACTAATATAATTGTACTGGGGGTTTTTTTCCTTGAAGAGGTTACCAACATTAAAACATACTCAAAATAGGCTCATCACAAATTTCCTGGTCAGGCTTTTAAAGCATCTCTTGTTACTACTTTTAATTTTTTATTAATTCCTATCTTCTGTCACGCAGACCCCGACTGGGCCAGTTTGAACTTGGGTGCCTTGATGTGCATCGAATGCTCAGGCATCCACAGGAACCTGGGCACCCACCTGTCTCGCGTGCGCTCTCTTGACTTGGACGACTGGCCGGTGGAGCTCAGCATGGTGATGACTGCCATCGGTAACGCAATGGCCAACAGTGTGTGGGAAGGCGCTTTGGAGGGGTACACCAAGCCAGGGAGCGACAGCACCAGGTTAGCATACTTCTACAAATAAAGGTGCTGCTTAATGAAGCGTGCAGAGATTATAGAATGAGAAGGCAGCGCTGTCTTCTCTCCATTAGCTGCCATTTATTAGCCACCCACATTTGAACAGAGGCAATTCACATCGCAAAATGCTCCATAAGAAGCACCAGGGGTCCATAAATGTCAGCCTATTGAGCCAAAAACACAGTATTTTATGTCTGAGCGTCAGTCCATCCTGTACACACTGATCGCTGTGCTTCTCTTGTATCAGTCACTGCTTTGTTGTTATCAACAGTCTCTGTCATGCTTCTGACCCTCTGGAAAACCATATTTCACCAGAGGAATGTGACATCATTTTGCACTTGCCTGATAAATGCTCTGACTTGCTTCATATCCATCATGTTTGTCATTTGATATGTAAGTACTAATCAAGAGAAAATTAGCAAACCAAAACCACATCTGAAACAGCTCTCTGTTTGGGCTTTTCTTTTAAGATCCAGCATGTGCCGATAAGTCTGGGACTTTCTCAGCACTGTTTGCAAAGCCAGTGTTTTACTTTAGATCCTGGTGAGCGGCTCTTGTTAATACGTTTTTCTTAAATGACACTTTTCCATTCACCTTGTGAACGCCTGTCCTAACCTAACCCACCCCGACAAATACCTTTTCCCTTTCTTCTGAGATCTGGTAGGAGGATTGTTTATCTCTTGGTGACAGGTGAGGCCTAGCGTTCCCGCCTGACTAATGATCTGCTGTGTGGCTGTGCAGGTAATTAAGCACACCATTAGGGCTAAACCCCACCCTGAGAGACAAGCCCTCAGGTCCCAAGCTGCCCTGTCACATATCCATCATACAGGCCTGGGTCATCACTCTGTCTGTCACACAGAGACTGTCTGTAGGGTCTCCCTGGTGGCATTAGACTGTTTAACATCACAGCTTTGTAACTTTAAGAAAGCAGGATGTCTGGCTACTTTCTTTGCTAGTACCTTTGTTTTTACATTTCAGAGACTAAAATCTTTCCAAATTTTAATTAAATATATAATAAAATTAAAACAATATGGCATTACAGGGACCCTTTTTATTGCAAACTAATTAGAAAACATTTTTCATGCCAACTTGATAACGTAGATGTATTTTGATAGTATCCAATCAATGTGGCCAACCTGTCTTGTAATGTTTGTTTGTCCTCGAGAAACATAAATAGTGGTTAGGTTTAAAATTTTAATGTAACACACTTTAACATGGTAGAGGTGTAACATCTTTGTTTTGTCATTTTAAGCCAATGCTGAAATGTTAAGTAGATTAAGACAGTATAATATGTTAAATAGCAAGAATGTGTTAAACATAAATGAACCGCTCACACTTTATAATGGTCCTACTTTCTAATATGAAAGGACTATTGCACTGGGGCAGCTGTTGCTCAGGAGATAGACCGGGTCTTTTGCTGGTTGGAAGGTCAGAGGTTCGATTCCACAGCTCCTACAATCCATGTGTCGACGTTTACTCGGGCAAAATACTGAACCCTGAGTCTGAGTGTGTAAATGTTACATAAAAGCACTGAGAGGGTGAATTGCAGTAGAAAGTGGTTTGAGTGCTCAGCTAAAGCACGATATAAGCACCTGAACCATTTAGTGAAATTCAAACTGTTGGTGTGGAAGAGAATGTATTAGGAAGATGTCATGTTGGGCTATGAAAGCTTGATGAGCTGGTCATTTATTTTTGTAGTATTTTGGACTACAAATAGGTTAATCGGTTGAAACCTCTAACGCTAATAAGCGCTTGAGTGATTATGAGTGGAAACGGTCATCAGTTCCCGGCCTAATTCCAACCTTCGGGTGATACTATGGCTTGATTGATGCGGGCATTTTAGGCCAGTGCACACTTTGTTTACAGTGGCGCTATTTACAAGCCAAAAGTGGCATATAAACAGTTAATATTGCACTTATAAGATATTGTTGCTATATGCCAAAACTTACTGTTGGAGTTTCATTAATTATGAGTGTAACCTCCAATATTGCTGCTAATTCATAGTCTTTTTTCCCCGTGAGTTTAACCTTTGAAATCACTTATTATAGCTTAGATCTCTTAATAAGAAAGCAGCATAAGGCTGTAAAACTGTCAATTTTATCCTTTATGAACTACTTTCTTTAGGAAATGCATATTTTTCTGCTCACAATTGGCCCACATAAAATGATCTGTGCAACACTGAGCAAGTTTTCAGTTATTTTTCCTCTTGGATTCATTCTCTGACTCTCCGGCCAGTTCAGACCTGAATGATGGCCTACAGTTGTTTATTGAATGGTATCTGTGTGAAAGTGCTCCACTGTGGACTTGATGAAAGATTATTGATGTTGATTTCTCTCCCTACCGCTGTCAGTCGCACGTCGCCTCGAGCAGGAAGGTTCTTCATTGTCTAAAAAATCCGATCTTATCCCGGAGCAGCATCTCCATTAGTTTTCACTGTCAAACGATAAATCTCATTTGCAGGATAACTAATCTTTAGCCAAAAAACAGAACTTGGAAATATCATATATGAACACCGGTCATTTAGATGCGCTGGACTTTCTGCTCTGCTTTGCATCGGACTATTTTGCTTATTCGTGAATGATGAATTCAAACCAATTTAAAGGGATGCGGTTTCTTTTATTATTTTTATTGAATTCTGACGGCGCTTCTGTGGGTGCTTCTCTTAAATTGAGCACCGCACATAAGGCAGAATTTTAATTGTGTCACACCGGTGACATGCAGCAGCTTTGTGATGGCACCCAGGCAGGCGGTGTATGGCTCCTGACTTCTACTAAACATTAGTGACACCTAATCTAAACGATTCAGTAACTACCTGAATATCAAGTCGGCGTCTGATAGAATGTCTCTTGCAAGACTAGTTTTACCCCTTTTGCATTTTTGAGATTTAACTTAAAAGCACTCATCCACAAGATTGTTTTAGCTTATGATATTTGGGTGCGAAAGAACACAATATATAGATTTGTCGTACGCGGATCTGCACAGCAGTGCAATTGCTGGTGTAGAACAGAATGATTACAGACATCATAATAGAAAGCGTGTTAATATGCATGCATATGTACGTAGGATTACCTGCTTTTGCAGAAGAATGCAAGGTACCAATAAAGCATCATTTACAATGGTAGTAAATTATTTGCTGTAGTTTTGTTTTTTTAAGCATGAGCTATTAACTAGAACTTGTTTGGGATTTTTCTTTTTGTTTTTTGTCCGTGTGAGAATAATGCAATTAATGTAATTCACAAATAAACACCCACGCACCAGTATGTGTGCGTTTAAAGGATTTTTGTTATCATTTGATAAATATTTCTCAATGTTTTCTAAGTTGGTGTTAAATTTGAATATTTTTGGAATAGGCATGTTAGACAAAGGCTCTTTGACTTGTTATAATGCAGTTATAACTGCTATTGATCCACCAATAAATGCTCAGGGCTTTCAGGTTCTAATGAGCCACCAAGTCTGCTGGTTTTCGTGTTCTCTTCAGTTTTTTAGTCCTCATCTTATAGGATCTCTTCCCAGAGCGAAACAAGGAAAGCAGTTCGATTAACTAAACTGCTCTTGTGCTAACGCCTTACAGCCAGCAGATTTATAAATAATTATTTATTGGTAGAGCGGAAAAGCTTCTTCAGTATCAAGTAGTGCCAACATGCTAACAGCAGAAGTCATATCTGGCCAGGATACAGTTAAATGTGTGATAATAAATCTGCGGGAGCTGTGCATTGTGGCTGATCTCTGCAGTCAGCATATTGCAGGGGAGTTGTTCTTTTAATTAGCACCTGGGAGTCGTTGTGTTTTGCATGTCACCTCTAATTGCTTGGCATGTTCGTGATAGAAAAACACTACAGATTATTTTTACGGAAACTGTGGGAGAGGTCTCGCGGTTAACTTTACCCCTATCCTTTGCCGCGCACACACACACACAAAAAATTGAAACACATACACAAGACACCAAGACTCATTTGGGGGAGATGTCCTGGAGCGTGGACGGATGTGGACGGCTATCCCTCACTGACGTGGGCCTCTCACTGTCACCCTCTGTAGGCTCCGCGCTGCCCTCGGCCACAGGCAGGTAATAGCTCTGATGAGAGCCCTCCACTTTGTTTCAGAAATAATTTGCCACTCCTGCCGCCTGCAGGGGCTGCGTGGTAATAAAAATGAATCACACCGCTAACCTCTCCAAACCTGGCCCCGTTGCCTTTTTTAACCCCTTCTGCTCCAGCAGTGCCACCTTGGCGTGCCCTGCCAAGTTCTTTATTGCTGCTTTAAAAAACAAAATAATATCAGCCATAACCTTCTGTTTTAGGATCTCACCAGATTGGCCTCTGTGCTGCATATTAGTTCCCAAAACACGGAGCAAAGCTTCCAGGCTACTCACAGGTTACGAGTGCGGGAACACCAACTCTCCAGAGAGATTTTAGAATAGTTGGCCTTGCCAGGAGCCCCGGTGGAAGAAGAGTAATTAATTAAGACAAATGAATGAATGGGCCTTACCATGTCCTCTGCCTCTCTTTCTCTCTAAATGAAACCCACAGGTCAGTAATTAGCCCTGTGTGGGAGAAGTGGTACTGTAGTCACTAATTGCCCACATGCCACCGGGTTTCAGGGCCAGGTGGACATAGAGGAAGGGCTGCTTCATTGAAGGAAGAAGGGGCCTAAACCATGAAATTAAGATTCAATATTGTTAGCATTAAAAAATAAAGACTAATAAAGAAAAAGAATCCAACCCAACTGCTTTATGTGATCGAGATTCTTTTTTTAAACTTGCGTGTACTGGGACGCACACTTAAGGGGGGCATGTGCTCGTCGTCCCCTCAGCTTTGTATGTGAGGCGAGGGTTCAGCAGGGGTTAACAGCGTGAGCATTTAAGGGTGTTAGTCTTGCTGGCACAAAAACACAGCCACTCCATCATGAGGAGGCTGACAACCTCATTAATGTCACAATATATTCAACTCATCCCTCTGCCTGCCTACAGCAGCCAGATGCTTTTCCACTGGCCTTTCTTTAGAGCCCAACACAACAACCTTTTGAATTCTGGTCATCTGTTCAGACCGCACTCTTGAAGCGAGAAAAGCAGCATCAATTCCACTTGTAAAATATTTGTCTTAATTCTTTTGTGTTGTTATTCTCAGAGCAGAGCACACCGTGTCTACAGTGTAACCCGTTGGACCATAGGAGGCCTTATTTAGCACTCTTGCTGTGGCGTTTACTGTGTTGCTCCTTCATTTCTTGCCCTTAGCAACCTTTGATGCTTTGGGGCCCAGCTTTCTTTCCCTGTTGTGTGCTCTTTTTTTTTTTTTTTGTTCATCTCAGTAGTTTCCCTCTGAGCCCCCTCTCTGTCTTTCTGCTGCTGCCCCTCTTCCTCACTCTCCCCTCACACACACACACACCCACCCCTCAGTTTGTGGAAGTGAAGCTGCTGGCTGCATGGGAATTGGTCCCATACAAGTCGCCCACCCCCACTGTGAAGTCTGTTCAGGCTGGTCAAACCCAAAGACCCTTCCCTCTGCCATTTCCACCCTTCAGTGCGTCTGTTTGATGTATCCACAGTGACTCTGGATGATCATGGACGAGTGGGAGGAGCTTAGACGCTTTGATAGTTTAGGAGGACTCGGCATGTGAAAGATGTGCGATGGCCATCCTCCTGTTCCTCCAGGCCAAGGCACCACTATTGCAGGCACTCAGATTGGTCATTCCTGTGGCTCCTCCACCGTTGGCTCCACCCGCTTTGTCTCAGTTTCCCTTCCCTTCCTATAAATTCCTGCTTGCCTTTGTCTTTCAGGCTTGACTAATTATCCTTGTTTGTTCCTCTTTATTTGAATTCAGTCATGTGTTCTTGACTCCGTGGGCTGGATTTAGGAGAATCATTCTGCCATTTGCCACTTAATTAAGTCAGGGTCAGAATCCATTGCTCAACGGAGAGCTGGAGGGACGGAGCTCTAATAGAATTATAAAAGAGGCCTTTCTCCACTGTTAAGGCTGCCTTTATCTAGGTGGGCTTCGCATAGGAAAATGAAAGGGGACACCAGCTCTAAGCAGGAATCCCATTTCCACTTTAGAGTCAGTAAGTGTTTTGATGTTTGCCCAAAGATTACATTGGAATCAAAGCCAGCGAAAGAAAGTTAAACAGCAGTGATCGGCCGTGAGATAACTCTGGATGACGGAGGAAGTTTGCGGCGAAGCAAACACCTCTTCTTTTTTTGGTTGGAGGCGCAGGCATTTTTATTGGGAACCTTAAAAACCTCTAATCCCTAAGCGACAGAGAAATTTAGAACAACTATGTGCTCGAGCCTGGGTGGGGAAATTAGTGTCTGTGTGCTTAGATGTCTGCTCGTACATAGAGAACTAACCATCGGTTCAGTTTTCAAAATTCCCCCCCATGCTGTGAAACTCACTCTCCTTTCCCTCTCTACTTCCCCTGCTACTCTGTCCTGGCACTTTGACATGCGAAATCTGCTGATTTTATTTTTCTTCCTCCTGCGGTGAGGAAGTGTCCTTTTCAAGGGTCTCAGTTTCCCCCCACCCCCCCCTGACTGTCTAAACCCTGCCTCTGTTTGGATTGTTTTTCAATTTCAAACAAAAGACAGAGGCGGGATTACCATTTCACTTCCTTTCACACTCTTTCAAGTGGCAGCAGCTGAGTTTTTTTTTTTTTTTTTAAACCACTGCCTGGCTGTTTTAGCTTTTTTTTCTGGTCTGTCTATTCTTGCTGAATTTAAAGCACAGCATCAGCAGTGAGCGAGGCCTTTTTCTGCAGGTCTCCAGGGCTGATTTCGTAGTGAGGGCTAACAAAGTGCCCTCAGGGCTCCTTTCTGAGTTGTTGACGTCTTCCTAATGGCTCTCCTCAGCCTTTTTGTTTTCACATCTTGGTGCTAACTTTCTGCCTCATTTAGCTCATATCAATTCACTGGGCTTTACGGATTCAGCATCTCATTCAGAGTCCGGCTCTCTGAAGCAAACTTTGGACAACAGGTTGTTTTTAACCCTGCTCAGATTTTTGTTAAAGGTTGTAGAGTTTGCCTTCGGGATTACAGCCAGTCAGTCAGTTTTCTGACAAACTTAAATCTCTTTGGCTGTAAAGAAGGGAAATAATGGTGGACGGCAGGACGGCCCCTTCCTGTTCTGAGCAGACCACCGATTCTAAGGCCAATTGATTTGCTAACCGGCTTGTCCCCACATAATGACTGAGTAGGGATTGATGGAGGTCTTACACCATAAAACTGAGCCACAGCAATTGCCTGCTATTAGGGCTGTATTGTTGTTCACAGAATACCCTCTGCCTAAAGAAAAGATTTGCTTATGCTGTAGCGGGAGGGGGGGCTTTCTCCGTCAGTGCTGCATTACATTACATTACCACATTCCCTTTGAGGTCATAATGAAAAAAAAATGTACCCATGTGTCTATAGGAGCAATTACTTTAAGGCTGTTTTGAGATGCGGCTAAGTAGCTTTATGAGCTGCTGGGGTTTTTTGCAGTTAATCAATCTCTGCTTGGGTGCTGATAGAAGAAGACTTGCCCCTTTTTCATCACATCCTTAACTCCTGTAGTTAGGGCGGGTGCCAGGCTGCTCTGTGCAAGACTGACTGCTTTGTGAAGTAAGCCTGGCAGCTGACATATGAGTCTGAACACGGTTGCTGTCTGCGGTAAGTCGGCAGCCTCGACACCTGGCTGCTAAGGCAATAAAAAGTAGTGGCGAAGTTTGGTTGCTGTTTTTAAAATGGTTGTTTCTGATTGAGATTTCGCTAATAGGATCTGTTGCTAAAATACTGTGAATAGATTAAAAACAACAGTGAAATTATCCTTTTAATAATCTGCGTAGCCAAAAATTTGACCATACCACAGAGCTGCACTGTTGATGGAAAACACTTAAACGTTAAAAAACGTTCCTTTCCTATGATGAACACAGGGAATGTACTTCTGCTGATATAAATTAGTGTGTGCTTCAAAAGTTTATTATTTGCTTTAATCGACTACTGAAAACTCATTTTTATTGGTTAGCGCTCCCTTAAATTTTTCCCCTTTTATTTTCGGCCATTTTTTTGCAACTATTTTCACGTATGTGTGTCTGACCGTAAGTCTGTTTACGTGTCTGTATGTTTCAATATATGTAGTGCTATACAAATAAAATAATAATAATAATAATAATAATTATTATTATTATTATTATTAACCCACAGATTTTTAATCTGTCCAAGAAATATCCAGCTGTTTGGGAAAGAAAAAAAATATATTTGTGAGCTATGTTTGGGGATTTTAGTTTGTGGAGAAATTGGCGAGGGGAAGGAAAGGGAGGAAAATATTAACAGATAAAACTAACAAAACTCACAAATTTAATCTTACATGATGGATAGCTTAAACCAGAACATGTAGAACTGTCTTACTTCATTTGTGTAAACCAGGTCTTTATAGTAAGCTGATACATACACAATATTATTCACTGTGTAGAGATAGATTCTTCCACTTCTCATCCAAAAGGTAATTTTTTAATAAATGATGATGAAAGCTGGCCATTATTTGATGATGAAATACAGTTGAATTGAGTTAGAGTGTCCGTTTGTACTTGCTGCCATGCCTCGACCCGCTGATAGAGAGTCCCATGAGAGCCTTGTCACTCTAGCCAGCGTTGCTGCTTTAACTTATCCTTACAAACCTTCCCCGTTCTGTCACTCACCCACAAATCCAAACAACAGCCTCTTTTTGCTCCTCTTATCACACCGACTGACAGGGTCACCGGGTTAGTACCACACTGGGCATGCTCAGTCATTCGCGTATTGATATTGATTTTTTTTTCTCCCCCTTTCCTATTTGTACAGTTTGTATGTGGGCACAGAATGAAATGGGGGGGTCAAGATGGAGAGCAATAGATAGAATTCTGCCTGGTGATAGAGGATGGAGCCTTCCCTCATCCTCTATTCTCTGCTGCGGGCTGGAGTGAAGGAGCCCCACATCCCACTGTCCCTTTCTGGCTGCCATTCAGCCCCATCGATCTGACTCAGGGCCCAGCCACCCCAAGGGAGACTGGGGCTCTGAGACACACTGCCTCTTTTGTGGAGGGGATCCACCAGTTCAGACTGACAGCCGACAGCGCTGATAAAAATACGTCCCCCGCCTTCCCGTATTGTCCACAGCAGACATGCTGTTCAGGATGTGTAACCTTTAGAAAGCTGGCCAGGCTTTAACGGTCATGCTGACGACCATAATCACTAGAAACTGGAATATTGCCCAAAGCGTCACACCCTTTGGCATTCTCTCATCTTTCCAGCACATCTTGCTGTATTATTTCTCACTGTGATAGTAAAGGCTAGTCACTTTCCTGTGCTCTAATAATTTAGAAATGTCACTGCACTCCGGTGAGTCTCTTAGGCCAATTACTCTAATATTTCCCCTGTGTGTCTGCATTTCTCCTTTTGTACATGTCTTTACCTTTACGTCAAGGCCTCTGAATTATGAGATACGTTTCGAGAAAGTTCTTTAACTTGGGTGCGAAATTGCTCATAGCGTGTTCGTCATGTTTCACCCTGCCTGACCTGCGTTGCCCCTGTCATTTCCTTCCCTCCAGGGAAGAGAAGGAGCGCTGGATCCGAGCCAAGTACGAGCAGAAGCTGTTCCTGGTGGGACTGCCCCAGTCAGATGTGCCTCTGGGGCAGCAGCTGCTTCGGGCGGTGGTGGAGGATGACCTGAGGTTGGTGGTGCTGCTGCTGGCCCATGGCACCAAGGAGGAGGTTAATGAGACCTACGGGGATGGAGATGGACGCACCGCTCTGCACCTCTCGTGTGCTATGGCCAATGTAGTCATCACACAGCTGCTCATCTGGGTGAGTGGGCTCCACTGAGTGTTGTTGGGAGCATTGTTAAAGGTGGATGAACATTTGAATCAGTGAATTCTGCTTTCACAGCAGAGCATTTGCAACTGTCAGTCATGGAAAAATTATATTTAAATTTACTTATTAAATGATCTTAAAGTAATTCAAAAGTGATTTTAGGGGAAATTATCTGGAAATCTACACAAACTACTGTTTCATTGTATGTTTTGGTATAAATAGTAGCAAAATAAGTACTTAAGTACTTAGTATTAGGTGGCATTTTGAATTGGATGGACAACAGAGGTATTTCAGTGAGTAACTGGGCATAATTTCACAACATGGAAGAATTCATTTGGCAATGTGAAAAAAAAGAGGAGAACCTTGGGGGAAGAAAAATGTAGGAGGCAAAATATTATAGAATATTAGTATTTTCACACAAAATTTCAATATACCTCCGATTAGCCAGCACAATGACTCAATGCAGTGCTGAGCAAAAGTCTTGAATCATCCCTCATTTGTTTCAAAGATCCAGGCTTTCTTGTAATGTTTTTAAAGTGGTCTTGAGCAATAGTTCTCCAGGCTTTCTGAAGATCTTCAAGGGTTTTCTTTGGACACTGGCTGCTGTGGATTAGTCACGTGCCTGACCATTTTCAGAGGAGAGTTTTTCCTAAGCTGCTTAACGCTGACTTACGAATCATTCAAGTATAAAAACGGCACTCACAACTTAGCAAAGAACCATTTTTTTACTTAGTCATCATCACTATGTACAGAGGAGATAAGGAGAAAACAGTGTATACAAGAACTGGACTGAAAATCAGCCCTAACAGGTCTCAGTACATAAGGAGGTCATTACAATGTACAAAGCTTGCCTAAAAAAGGCTGTGTCAAAAAATACAGGTGTTCATACCAAATGTTGGCTTTTGTGCTTGTTCAGATGTAACAATGTCTTTCTTATATGCTGTATTTCCAACTTTCCTAGCCAAATACAAAGAAATGGGGGGTGGAGGATGGCTCAAGGCTGCACAGTACTGTACCACCTCACCAAAAAAGGGCTTTTTTACAGAGTGCTTTCAGGAAAATCAAAAACGTATCACATTATTACTAAATCTAATCAATGAACCTAAATCATAAGCATTAATTTCAGAGGACTTGCCAAAAATAACATGTAGTTACTTGTACTTTATGCTTATGTCCTAAATTTGGCCTTTGTTCTTTTCTTGCCAACCATTCTCTCCCACAGTACGGTGTGGATGTGAAAAGCCGAGATGCCCGCGGCCAAACGCCGCTGTCCTACGCCCGGCGGGCTGTGAGCCAGGAGTGCGCGGACATATTACTCCAACACGGTTGCCCCAACGACACCAGCAGCCTGACCTCCGTGCCCACGCCCAACATGAGCCGCCGCAACCCCAACATCAACAACAACAACGCCCAGTGTGAGCTCAACCGCAGTATCAGCATCATGTAGGAGCCAGAAAGCAGCTGCAGACGAGCACCCACCTAAACCCACCCGTGTCTCCTCCCAGTACTTCCTCCTCTGTTTCTCACACTGTGTAACCCAAAACCAGTACGCACGGATAGGTATCAGGAGCGACGGACCTACTGCAGATATTCCACCGCGCTGACAGAAGTGGGAGCGTTTGGGGTTTCGGACATTGTACATTGTTTATTTTATATTATTATTTTTTATTCCTGTTGTTTGTTAAATTTATTCAATCTCGGTCTGAAGTGATCACGATGAGCTTTAAGCTTTTTTGTTTTTTAAGCGTCAACCAAACAAATGACTTACTTTGGCATTCATACCTACTCTACGAAAAGCATTTCCTTAATGCTTGAACATTTCCTTTTTATGTCTTCCCCTTCTGCGATGTGAACTGATTATACAGTGTGAATGAGAAACTTCCTTCAAATTTCCAATCCTAAGTGTAATAACATAAAACTGTAAAGAATAGTTTTAGAAGTGACAAAACACTGATGTGGGAAAGAAACTAAATCTCTCTTGATATCAGTGGCTGTTGCAGGCTTTCGTAATGATGCATGTCTTCAACACAGCTATCAAACTCTTGACATACTATTCATATACAAAGGCAAAGCAATTATAGTTAAAGAGTCCAAATGATTTAGATACTTAATTTACAGGGAAATGGATTCAGATCATCATAAAGGGGTTGATTGCACAATTCCTATCGGGTGAAATTGAGTCATTTCCTTCGCCACCCTTATCGTGATGCTCGGGTAAAAGTGTCCGTGACTACAAAGGAATTAAGGGGCATAATGTTTTATGACCATTGAGCCACATGGCTTTGTACGTGTTCCTCTTCAATCAGAATTCATTCAGATTCAAAGGTTTGATTAAAGCAGTGAAATTGTGCCATTACAATCTTTTTGTTGGAGTAATTTCCCAAATGACAAGATTGTGTTGATAATTGACACAGATTCGTGCAATTTCATCCCGTGAGTGTCCTGGAATATCCACTCGCCTCCTGTGGCCGAAGGCTGTCGTATTTGGTACTCTAAAGAAGACTTCCTCTGTTGTTGCTGTGAAATGCATATACTGGTACTGTGTGTGTGCGAGCGCGCGTGTGCGTCCATACATAACGCTACGATACGTTTGTGCTTGCGTGTTCGTGGGCATTTCTGTTGTTGAAAGGACGCCGGAGAGGTGACAGAAACTGTCAGTGACGATTTGGGATCATAACTGTGTAACAATGTACAGACCACTGTAAAAAGTAGTTCTTCTTCCTTTGCCTTATTCCTTATAAGAAGTTTGAACTTAGTCGATGAGAAGCAGCCTTTTACCTTCTCCTTAAACCTCTGTGCTCTCCCCCTGAGAACCTGTCAGCCCGAAAGCAGGGAGCTAACAACGCGCATTCACGTGACTGACGTGAGACATTTAGGGATTCGAATGAGCAAAGATGTTCATATATATAGAGAGACGAGTATAATTAGTTTGCATTATTACAAATGTACAGTATTCCACAGACGTGATAAGCCAACTCATTTAGAGTAAGTGGGACTCGGACGTAAAAATGACTTTAGATGGAGTCGGCACAATGTGGGTGTATTTCTCCTTTTATTAAACTGCCATTTGTGAGGTTTTAAAACATCTTGATTTTACGTGTTTACATAGGCAGAATGTTTGTTTACAGAGCAAGTTATGAACTTGGTACCTTATCTACATGGTTTTGTTGTTGCGTTACAGTATTCCTGTTTTCAGAGCCTACTGAAAATGACCATGGGGTCAAAAGAGGGTTTTGTTCATCCAGGCGATGGAGATACTGTAAAAGAAAGTTTTGACATTTTAAAAAAAATATATGCTTATTTGCTTTCTTGATGGGAAGATTGTGTACAGATGTTTTTCCAGAGCAGCCATATGAAGTAGTTATCAACCACATTTGGTAAAGGTTCTACTTAGGTACATTACACCTTGTTTACAGAGCCGTTACCACGATGGAACTAGGCCTAATAAAGAAGTTACACCATACGTCCCTATATTTCTGGGGTTTCTTGCTTTGGAGTTTATGCACACCTAAGAGTCGTATCGATCTTCCTGTCTTCCTCCCAGCAAGAGGCGCATAAGCATATTTAATAAAATGTCAAATTAATCTTTGAAGACATCCCCAAAAGAAATCAAACTGACTTCTTTGAATTTACTAGTACTGTAATGTAATACTGGCCTTATTTCTGATCTTTACTTGACCAACCTGTTTCATTGAGTGCATTTTGTTGTCCAAGGGGATCAGTAAGAGGAGTTAAGCGTGTACAGTGATTACCCTTATTTACATACTGTAGATGATTTAAAAAAAAAACACTAGAAATCTGCCTGTTTTTCCCCCTGAAAACAAGATGAAGTGTAAATATTAGCTTAATGCTTTTATCTGAAGACAAACTCCTGAACTGAAATGGTTTTCGGTCTTCCTGACCAACAAACCGTATTTTGATATGTTTTGTTTTGTTTGTTTGTTTCTTCTTTGGCATATTTTTTAAGGTACTTCTGTTTGGTCTTGCCGTTAACCGACCATCTTTGGTACTTGTGTATAATGATGTACATTTAACATATTTATAATGCAGTATGTAAATATATTTTCTTGTTTTTGTTTTGTTTTTTGCTCATTTTCCTATTGTAATTCCTTTACATTCAGAACGTGACTCAAAAGCTAAAGAATAACTTGTTGTATGCTTGGATGCTTGGCTGACAGTTGACCTATTAATAAACACTCAAATAAAAACGATGTAGCCTTCCCTGGATTTAGGGAAATCAACGCATTTGTCTTGTGTATGTGTGTGTGTGTGTGTTGCTCACTCATTATCCATCACACTCCTGTCTCTCCCATCTCTTGTCTTGCTGTGCCTTAACGGTGAAGGTGAGGCTTTCTTTCAAATTAGAAGTCGCGTTTCCTCTTTTGCGTCTCCCTTCATCAAACTTCGTGTCCGAAACAACTCAGCCAGGCCTGCCTCGAGGTAAGTGAACCACCCTCTTCACTTCCTGCTCGAGGGACCCCCAACAGTTGCTGAAAGAGGATTAAGATAAAGAGCTGGGCTTAGTGTCAGGCAGCACAACACTGTGGGGAAAACTGAAAGATCTGTGTTCAGAGGAGTCAAGCCCTCACTAATCCACTTCTTATTTCCTGCTAATCTTGTCTCAGCATATCTTCATCCCCTTCCTCTTTCTGTTGGCCAGCATTGTTTGCTCTTTATCACCTGGTTTCTCTTTAGTTTCTCCTCTTCCTCCCTCAGCGCTGCCTTGAAATGGAGACTGACTCCCCCAGGTCACGCTTTAAAGCTCTTAAAAACAAATTTTCTCAACCAACTTCCTTATTAGTAATTGGGTAGTATTGTCTTTGCTTACTTCACCTTGCGGATTAGTGACCTTCCTCTGTAGTCTCCTCAGAGGGAGGAAATTAATAGGGCTAATTTAGAATAACATTATCACAGCTATCCTTTAGCAGCATTAGATGGGAGGTGTTCGGTTGCTGTCATGAAAAATCAAATCCTTCTCACATTCCTTTGAACTTATTTTTGTTTATACTCCTTCTCTTTTTGGCCTCTATGCACTAATCATGAGAACAATTCCTCCTGTTTGGCTTTCGATAGCAATGAGCAACTATTTGGAGGAAAAGTTCAGCTTACAAAGAGCTGAGAGTTAACTCAGATTAAGGTAGCAGGCCATGAAACCCAGGGAATGTAAAAAAAATGATATCAAATGAACCTTTAAAGGTAGTCTGTGGGACTATTGCAAGATCAGGTAACACTCTTGTGTTTTGTTTAATAATAATAATTGTAGATTTAAGATTTATAAACCTTCAAGGTCTTTAATGTAGTAAGATATACTATACTTTAATATAAGAATCAGTCCATTTAATGTCAGAATTTAAAGGGTTTGCTCGCACATACCTAAACTAGTGCTTGTCTGTTCTTACCTAGGGAGAAAAAAAAAGGTCTTGTAATTTATTACCATGCCTCGTGTCTTGGCAGACCCCGGCCACTTGTGTTTGTTGTGGTGAGACTGGAGCGCTTGTTTGCACCGCCGTGTGTTTTGATATTTCATCAGGGCTTGCTAAACAGTGAGGAGGGCTCTCTGCCGCCCACCTCTTCTCAGACAAATTGCCTCCGAGATTGCAGAGGTGGGTCTGAGGCTGATGGATGGGCACACAAAGACCTGACGAGACCATATTTGCAAACATTAAATCCATACTTCCCTTATGCAGAAGCTGCTTGGCCGCAGGTCACCGGCAGTGAGTGATGCACCCAGTCCTGATGTGAATGCTGCATCAAGGTGGCACTGAACAAATGTTTATCTTACATGTTCCTTGCTGCCTGTCCTGATGTGGATGTGTTCTGTTGCTCCCTGTTTTTCCTCCTCTTTTCAATCTTGCAGTCTCTTTAACCAGTAATTATATCCTCTCTTGCCCTGACCCTCTCTCCTCTCCTGAATCCCCCACAGACTTAAACATCCATTATCAATTCCAGCTCCATCATGTCTGAGCAGTACATCCATGTTGCACCCTGCCCTTCCTGACTGCCCCACGTCTCCATACTCATTTCCCCATCCTCTCAGTGATCGACCTCTCTTTCCCTACTTGCTGCCCAACCTGGCTGCTTCATACCCACCGTGCCATCTTCCTCTTCACCCTCCTCTCACTCCTTTGTCTTATATAAACGCTCTGTTCCCATCACTCTTTCCCTTTCCCTCCTTCTTCCCTTACTTTCTCTCCTCTTCCCCGTTGGCTTTTGCCTGCATTTTGCTGTTAATTTGCCTGAGAATGCATTAGCTGTAATGAAGGCTGAGGGCCGAGGGAATCCTCCAGGGTTCCATTAATCATCCCCCCTCAGACAGGCAACCTTGATTACAAGTGGCAAGAAATTCATTAGAGCCGGGCCTCTGACAACTCTTATCTCCGCCACTAGATCTGACTCATTAGGCAGCCAAATTAAAGCTATGATGGCCCTGATGAAACTCATCGCTTGTTTATCTTGTGCGATTTGATGCATCTGCCCATACATCACTGTAGCCACGACCGTCCGGACCCTCCCAAGAAGTCAGGCCTCCAGTCGGCGCTGAGCAGCCTGCACACTCACACAACCAAGCCAGTAATGAGCTCCCTCGCTTTCCTCCCTCCCTTTCTCTCTCTCTCTCTCTCTCTGCAGGTGGGAATGAGGGAATAGTTACACGTCTTTGCTGGAAAGAACTTCTGATATTTCAATTTGTGATTCAAGTAGCACAATGGCAGAATATGGAGTCTCGAGATTGAAGTGTTTACTGAATGTGCGGCTTAAAAAGAACAGACTGTTAGAAACTTTGAATGGATTAACACAGTAACCCGAGAAACTCAAGTCTGCTACACATTACTCTCCCCCAGAAAGCTTCTGCACGTTAATAATTCATTAATAATAAAAGCAATATTATTTCTTTCCACACTAACAGCTCTAAACCTGCAGGATCTTAGTGATAACAGCCAGTGCCTATCATGAGTTTTGTCATGGCTCCTCATAGTCAGCCCTTCCATGCAGCGCATGCATGGGGTCTGAAATAGCTGTGGCACTCTGGCACAGTGACGTGGAAATAACCATCTATGTTAGTCAGCTCTTGGACCATAATCAAACTTCCACTGCACCTTCACACGACCATCACTCCTTGAATCCCCATGTGAGTGTCACAATCTTAATGCATGAGGTGGACGGTGAAATAAAGTTTACTACTCATGGGTGCCCGGGTCATGAAGTGTCTGTTTATGCTCTGAGGTCAAGCCTGTATTCAACAGAGGCGTGAGGAAAATTTAATGTAAAGATGATTATAGATGTCTGTTGCTATTTGAGATTAGTTTTTTGTTTTTTTTAAAAAAAAAAAACAAAAAAAAACAAACCCACCTTATTGTGGCAAAAGTTTAATTTCATGAAATATTAATTATCTGAGGAATCCTGCCTCATCATATTTCAAATGATGAATAAATAAACGTGATCTGACGTCTACTGAATCTTTTTGGAATCACGAAGACTATCTGATATAAAGTTTAAAAAAATCCAACATAAGATTTTGTGCAAGCAGCTCAGAGACAGCGTGTAAACCGAGGACCGTGATGCACATGAAAGTTTTCATAAAAACACCAAGCCTTCCTCCTATAATAGGGTAGCTGTTTCTGGTTAGAGATTATGTTAATATTGCTGGCCTGTAGAGTACAATTTCCGATTTGATTTCATTTAGCACCGCTTTTATTCGCTCAGGTCTGTTTCTGTAAGTACAAGACGAGTAATTGCATTTACTAGCTACAGGTCTGTGTATGTATCCTTAAGAAAATCCGCGTTTTAGGAGTAATGTAGTTTCTTACAATCATAACATTCATTAAAAATCAAACTTATAAATATCGTCTACTTCGGCCATTGAAACAAAAGATGAAATACTTCATATTTTAGTAAATCTCGAAAGATGTCGACATTTCTGAGGGATATTAGTTGTATTAAAATGATGCATCTCGTATCTATCAGGTGACACAGCACCAATAAATTATGCCTTCAAAGCGGACTTTAATGCGTCCTATTAAATGACTTCTTGTTCATATTTAGTTCTTTTTGGATTGATTTACAAAAAAACATTTTAGCGCCACGAGATTAAAGAGCTGATGTCTGTTTGTGTCGGTGCAGTGACTGATAGAGAAGTTCATTACAGAGTGTTGAATGTGCTCAGCCTAATGAGGATCCATCAGTTCAGTTGAGACAACATGGCCTCCTAAAGAGAAATCAATCACTGCTGCTGCTACCTTAAAAAAGACTGTTGCACCTCTCAAGTCCTTGATGTATCTAAAATAAAATAAAAAAATAAATAAAAAAATAAATAAAATAAATAAATAATTAATAGATTCTAAAAGAATTTGCAACTTCAGGAAATTAAGACTAACAGATGTGCAGCAGAAGCTATGAAATTACACAAAAACAGACATTAATGTGCTTCTAACGCCTCACTGAAACTCTCTAAAAAAATGCTTTAAAAACGTCTTCTAAGTCCAAAAAAATGAACAAAAATATTTTTTATGATAAAATTTCAACGTTTCATCAGGATATATTTTTAGTCAAAACAACCGCCTGACCGTAGGTTGTTTTTTTTTAAATGAACTTGTTCAATAATCTTTCGTGATGTTTAAACAGTAAAGGCCACCTTTGTTTTAATTTTTAACGTAATCAAATGATTTCAACAGCTGTTGCTCTACATTTTAATAATAATGATTCAACCTGGATTCCAGCTTTCGTATAAAGCGATTTATTAGGTCAATATACTTTACAGTTGTCTCTTGTTTGGTCGTTAATTCCTTCACATTTTTTTTTGTTCTTCCACAAATAGCTTTAAAAGGTGGTTTCTACACTTGCCAAACAAAAAACGCCTTAAGTTACATGCAAATGTCTCCAACAAATTGTACGAAACACAAAACAAACAAACAAAAAAATAAATCCAGAATAGCTTCATCAAATGAGGACATGCACATAACCAACAAAACAGTTTGGCCCTACATATAAATACTTAAAAAAATCTTTACAGTCGCATCTCATAGTGCTCATTTGTACCAGTTTTTACCCATTTATATTTACATATTAACAGAAACAATAAATAAAAATGAGAGCATATTGCCAAATAATTGGTCTGTCTGTGAGTAAATCCTCTTCTCCCTCAGACAAAATAATTGGAACATCCTTTTTGTGCTTCATGCGTTCAACAAATCAGTGGAACCTAGAGTCAAGTGTTTCTAATAATATTCTTTTTTTGATTTTCATCTGAGTTCATGGCCTGGTCCCTTGCTCTATTTGTTGATGCTGACTCCTCACAGCGAACCTGTTGACGTGCACCGGGATGGGGACCACAATTTTGGGATTTCTCACCGGTTCTCCCGACCGGTTGTTGACGTTGCCCGCTTTGATCCGTTTCCACTTGGCCCTACGGTTCTGAAACCAGATCTTCACCTGCACCTCGCTCAGTTTGAGTGCGTGTGCGATCTGGGAGCGTTCAGTCAGAGAAAGGTATTTTTTACAGTGAAACTCCTTTTCGAGTTCGAGCAGCTGCTCGCTGGTAAAAGCTGTTCGTCTCCTCCGGCTCTTCCCTGCTGAGCTGCCGGTCGGTAGCGCCTCCTGCGAGCCCGTTTTTAGTTTGCTCTTCTGGGACAGGGCGCCGCAGTTGTTGCCGTCCGAGAAACTTTCGTTCTCGCTGTCCGCGGAGCTGTCCTCTCGGTCGCTGCAAACTGTGTCTGCTGATTTTAGGTCCAGCTTCTCGTCGTCTGAACTGTAGAGTTTGGTCTCGCCTAAAATGCGAAGATAAACAAAGAACACACGCAAACATACGCATTTAGTGTTTTTATAGTTTATGAGCCCGCGGTGACAGCTGCAGATGTCTCACAACGTTGGACGACACTTGGTGTGTTTTGGGGAGAAAAAAGGCTGGCAGAGATCATGTGAAAGAACTTTTTTTTTTCTTCTTTTTTTTTGAAATTTCAGAAAAAAATCAGACCAGTCATGCTGAATCATCAGCGGTTTGTTTGTGGTCACTCAGTTGTTCCATAAGTTTCCACTGCAACTGAGAAACTTAGAAAATGTTGCATCCACATATAGACTGGAGTTATTCTTGGCATTTAGCTCTGTTTTATGCTATAATAAAGACTGGTTCAGAAATAATTTCAAATAGGGCCTTTTAAAATAGCAAATGTGCCTGAAACGGCAGTTCCCTCATAAAGCTTCGCTTTATGCTACATACTCGGGATTTAGTAAAATACATTTTAATCAAGAGCTCTAAATGTGAAAAGATGAGATTAACTAGAACTATACACTATACCTGCTAATTCATCTTCACCCAAGAGGCCACTAATCTCCGCTTTATCGCATTTTACGCACAGTGGTCACTTTTACGCGGCAGCCCCGAGGCTTAAATATAATGAAAGAGAATGACTTGTAGAGGTGGTTGAGCCTACCTGATATTGTCTGAAAAGTTTCCGAGAAGTTGAGCATCTCAGAGCTCTTGTCCCGGCTGTGCAGCTCCTCGGAGTGTGGGCTTTCTTGCCTTCTCGCTCCCGGGTCGGCAGCGCTTAAACGTGGACCAGGCAGCTCTTGTGGTGGATAAAAACTGTCCGGGGGATCCGAGAAACTTGGCATCGTTGTTGTGAGCGCAACCATGGACGGCACCCCCTGTCCCAAACTGGCACAGAACGTGTTGGTGAGTCGTCCCGCAAAAGAAGCCAATGGCGCGAGTGGAGGTATACCAGACGATAAAGGAGAATGGGATAAAGCTTGTGGGATAACCAAAGGTCTGTACGGCATGAACATAGGATAGCCCGTGTAGAGCAGGTGTCCCGGTCTGGGCTGAGGGGTCCCTATCAGGGAATCGATTGAAAACGCCGTCCCTTGCCCGCCTGGTCGCTGCATTTTGCAGGCAAACACTTTTGTTCGGTGAAAACTTGAAAGCAAATGTCCTTCCGTCGACGACGAGCAAAACTTTCAGTTTAAAGAGAGCGTGAATTGAAAGTAGATCCTCTGCTGTGTTGTCATCCCTAGAAGTAGACCTCTTCTTCGGATATCTGCGCTCTAAATGCTTCAGTCAGTCGGACGCTTTGTTGTGTGCACCAGCGCTACCCTTTCCCTCTTATTTGTCACACACTGAGACATAAACACACGCTCCCTCTTTCTATCTGTCCCCTCTTTCCAACTCCTCCCTTCACCCCTCTCTGATGCACAGTGTGTGTGTGCGCGAGGAAAGAGAGGGCGAGAGCGCATTGGTTATCATCTGCAATACAAGAAGAATGAAAAGGGGGTGTTTCCCTGGGGGCTCATCCATCTTCCTCAAATTACGCTTCATTTCCTTATTCAGCCTCTGACTTTTTGGCCGTCTTGAGAGGCGGTAGTTTCCCAGTGGAGACCAAATAGACGAGTCACCCCCCTCATCTACCCCTCCTCAAGCCCTCCTCCCCTTTTGCCAGGTTCACCATTGACTGCAAAACGGTGTGAGAGACTGTTCCAGCCCTTCCCCTTCTATAATCGTTGACCACACCAAACCAATCAGCTATTATTAATTTTGATTGATGATAAGTAATTACTCTGGATTCAAGGGACAGCATAAAACAACGGTGGCTTTTGTTGAAATATTGGGACCGATGGGCATCAGAGTCGGGAGGGAGGAGAGGCAGATGTTTCTCCCATTCTCCGCGGCTAAAAACAATGCGTTTGGCTTCAGAAAGAAGAAGTGCCACGACAATCGCTCCCCAGAGAGAGAGAGCAAGCGAGGTAGAGAGAGAGAGCGAGATGCTGCGTGCGAAATTAGATTCAGATAAAAGCCGTTTGTGAGGTCAACTTCAGTGTGGACACAGACTCAAAGTGGCTAAAGTTACTAATCCCCGAATCTAAATCTATAAATCTAAGAACTTTAATCTCTTTTGCTGGCCATATGCCAATTAAAACAACGTGTGCTTTTTGTTTCTTTCTTTTTTTAGAAACTAAATAAAGCACTAATTTTACTGTGCGCTTTTGGAAAAGTAATTTGTCCCTGATCAAAGTCGCATAGGGTGGGAAGAAAAAAAAAATCTCTTTTCTTAAGCACTGGTTTAATCGCAGATCATCTCACCTTTTAAATGGCAATGGGAACTGATGATGATTAGCCCTATTGAGTCCTGGGTGCCCGGGCTCTCCAACTGGTCGTCTGATTGCATGAGGACATAAACATATCACCACCGACTCTGATTAGCAGTGGAGGGCCAGGGCAGGCTAATTCTTATAATTGCAAGTGACTTCAGCAGCACCTCGCTTTGATCTACTGAAACCATTTGCCGAGCTCGTCTTCCTTTCTTTTTCGGGTTATTCTGAGTTTACGTTGCTGCTCTTTGCGCGCTTTGTGAACAAAATTCTGTGATTGCCTGTTTCATTTCTTAAAGACCAATCAAAACTGTGTTAAAATAGGGCCTGTGTTCTTAACCTCTTTATGACTAAACACAGTTTTATAAGGCAGGGATATAAAAATGATACCGAAACTCTATCTACTGTCTGTAAATTCACATTAAAGCTGTTCCCCCCCCCCGTGTAATAATTTTAAAAAGGTCCAGATCGTCTCCCATTCAAACACATACACATTCAAATATCTCTAAAAGTTATTCAACATATTTCTGCTTAATTTGATTTCAATTTTTAATTTTTGAGTGCATACTGGATTAGATACCGGTGCTTCCTAAAATATTTTTGTGTTATAAATTACTAATTTCCAGAAAAACGCGGTAATGACAAAACAGCCAGTAAACACACACAGAGAAAAATGACTACAAGCAGAAACATGACAGAAAAATATAAAAACACGAAACATGAAAAGAACAATGACCAGATCATGCAGCAGTAGTGGAAATCTTTATTTCCATTTAAAGCCTGTTTTAATCATATATATATAATTACAGGCATCTCGGTGGCTCAAACGATTAATGCAAATATTTTGATGGCAATACTCGATGTGCAAAACATAATTACCATGCTTCCCAGCGCTGACCTATGATAATAACTATGCATACAATTTAAAGCAAGTCGTCCTTTTTAAATTAAAGTGTAAAAGTAAGAAAAAAAGAAAAGAAAAAGTGATCAAAAAAGTAAAGAAAATATAAACCAATACAGCTGCAGCCCCACTGCATAATTTAATAATTCTAGTCTGTAGCGCCCTCTTGTGGTGCAACATCAAACGTGTTTCTGCGCTGAGACATGGATCAAAACATGACAGGAAACGACTCTGAGTCTTGCTCCTAAAAATCTTATGTATGGCAGCACGCACCCTAAAAAATCTGTGTATTGATTCACATTGTTGGACTTTTATCACCATCGATATTTGGTACAAATATTCACACTCAGATTGGACTTTTAGTGAATGTATCCTCTGAAATCCAGGAGAAGATAGTTCTTGATGAACTTGGGCAGATCGAGCTTTGGGACCACTTTGTGTACCCGGCCTTCCAGGAATCTCCTGAGACTGCAGCGAGCCAAGTGTTGCAACGAGCGAGGAGTCATTTCCAGGGAGAAGACTGACTCATAAAATTCTTTGTGTTCCTTTTTTGGACAGAAACACACAAAAAATAGATTTAACTGATAAACTGATACTAGATCGATGGCTCTATATTGATGCTTTGATATTCTGAGTTTAGTTTTGCAATCAGCTTATATTTAAAAATGAATGATTAAAAAATATCTTTCTGAATATAAAATAATGATAAATTACTTAATGTTCTTTTCATTTTTAAAAGCCCTCATATTTATAAGAAAGTACAATATTTTTCTCTACCTAAATGGCTGAGATGGGTCACTTTAAAAGTATGAATTTAAAGACAATGAAGACTAAAACATTTAACTGAACATAATAATAATAATAATTAAAAAATGGTAAACCTAATTCATAATTTCACATTTAAAAAGCTTGCCTTAAACACCTCTTCTGACACGGACTCAACCCAGGTGTCCGTGACTTTGAGGTGACTGTAGGCATTCAGGAGAACCTCAACAGTGCGTGGCGATTTGGAGCAGTGCATCAAAACCTGCAAGGTGCATCACAACTCAGAGCAAAGCAGTACGATTTAAACAATCAACATTTAAGTTCACGAGCAAGCATGTGACTCCATAGAACTGAAGAAATAAAGTAATTAAACACTTGTGAAATGAACAGATTGGTCTTCCCTCCAGGGGTTTAACTGGAAATTATGCAATTAGTGCTAATTAATCTCCTATTAACACTTGCCTAATTAGGAACCAGGCATTTTGTGTAGTGCACGTGGGTTCACTGATAGTTGTAGTCTGTTTCCCGCTGAGAGTGCAACACTTCATGTTGTGCCATGAGATGGTAATGATTTGAATGTGAAGTTGTGAAGTCTGGAATATCGCAAGGAACAGTGTAGTGTTTCAAAGAAATCTTAGTCAAGGTGTTACATGTGCAGTACTTGCTAATTATGCAAAATGAGCCACCTTGATGAATAATTGGCTGTAGCCGTGATAGCATGCTTCTCCACACGTTTTATTCTGACTCCATGTAATATTCAAGCATTTGGGTCCCTACCTTCGGAAGAGCACCGGGCCACACCCGAATGGAGCCGTGGTTGAGCAGAGAGCGGACAATCCTCTCAGGACTATGGGAAATCTTGTAGGCCACCACCTTCAGGATGTTGTGCATCGGAGCTTCACCTCCATAGTCCATGTTGTTAACGCAGGCCCCATTTTCCAGCAGCAGATCCACTATGTCTGGGTTCGCATTCTTACAGGCCATGTGCAAAGGAGTGCGTTTGTCCTGTTCCTCAGTGTGGATGTTGGCCCCTGCGTTTATAAGTATCTGACACACCTTGAAATAATTGCGGAGATCCTGTGCCTCCTGGGGCTGTGAGCAAGCAGAATTGATGGAGGTGAGACCCTCATAGTTCTGTTTGTTCACAGCAGCTCCATGACGCAGGTACAGCTCAGTGTGGTCTGGGAGGCCATTCCTGGCAGCCACATGGAGAGGAGTGTCATATTCATCTACAGTGCAGCCGTTGATTGCAGCTCCATACTGAAGGAGATACTTGGCACATCTGCAGACAGGATTAATAGAATCAGGTAGATCAGTTGTTCCTACACTTTAGATTTTTTTTCCCTTTCAGATTCAAAGGCATTTTAATGCATTATGCTTGATATCTTTTTTTGTCAGCTGTTTATATTACAGCAAAATTTACAACTAGGGGCAGCAGCAGTCCCAAATTTAATATATTTTACTGTCACTTGTAGCTTCACCTCCTGCTCCTGGAATATGTAACTCCTGAAGGAGGAAATGACAGAAACAACAGAATGTTTACTCTGCAATAAATACACCTTTTGCTCAGGTAAATATACTCAGGGGTTTTGTTTGCTCTTATATAACCTCGCAGCTACAAGGATACAAGTTCAAGTACTGGTGCTTAAGACTGACTGCACTAGATGAGGAATGAAAATACCCTTACATAGTTTTACTGGATTTCACTTACTCAAGGGATTCCGCGCTTGTACAAACATGCAAAGGCAGAAGGCCGTCCTCTGAGACAGCATTGGCATTGGCACCGTGCATCAGCAAGAGTTTGGCACACTCTGGTTGGCAGTTTTCACAAGCCTCGTGCAGCGCAGTGGTGCCGCCAGGTGCTAGGTCAACATCTGCTCCGCGCTGCAGCAGGAGCCTCAGGCAGTCCGCGAAGCCTCGACCAGCTGTGATGTGAAGCGGTGTCGTCAGCTCCTGCTCATAAGTCAGTGACCACAGTCCTGCCAACAGGGAGCAAAAGTGTCATGAAGACAACATTGAACTCAAGCCATAGGACCACATGGCTATATACATGTATACATGTCACATATATGCTTCAGCAGATATAGTATACAGCAGGGGTGACAAAAATAAGGCCTGGGGGCCAGAATAGGTATGGCAAGGCTTCAATCCAGCCCAGGGGATGGCTTTTGGAAAACATTAGATAGGGAATACATTTTTGGATTTTCAACTGTATTTTTATATGTTTTACAGCTTTTCCTGCTATAAACTAATAGACATAGTTAAATAATAGATAAAGAATGAAATGACAGAGAAGTACCTGTTTTTCTTGGTTAAAACATTTAAACTTTCAGTGGAACAAAAACCTTAGGTTTTTAAATACATGATAGTCTGAGCTACCAGGCATTTTTTTTGTACTTTTACACATTTATCATGCAGGAAAAACTGAGATGTCATGTTGAAACTACACGTCTTTATCTTATATTAAGGTACCTCTGGGATCAGATGTTTGGTTAAACATCCTTACACTGACAAAGTTGAGTTTCACCCGTCTCACCCACTTAAAATCAAAGTGGACTGTATGTAACCCTCAATGAAATTTGACATCCCTGGTATACAGTGTAACATTTTAATGTACTCATAACATGTTTCATCAAAATCTAGTTTAACCTTGCTGATGCAAGATTAAACATAAAAATCAAGGACCTACTCAGGCCTCTGTAGTTAAATCTAAAGTTCTTCCACTCCTCCAAGTTGCTGGTGTCATAAATTGCATCAATAAGGTAGCCATACTCATCATCATCCACGATACCGAGGATAGTCAGCTCGTCGCCCACGAGCAAAGAGTTCCAGAACTGCAGGATACAACCTGTAGCCTTGGCTGTGGCGATCACATCTTCTCTGTATTTCTTTTGTTTGCGCCACTTCACTCTAGGTGCTACGTAAGCCATATTACAGCGAACTAGTTTGTTTTTAAAATGTATTAGTTGTGAGGTTTCTCCTGAAGCACCACTTATGCAGGTTGTTTGTGCAGACAGGGCTATTTCAGGGAGGTGTTATGTGATATTGTGCTTGACCCTTTGAACCCGTGGCATGAGAGCCAATGACTGCATTGCATGTAACCTGCCTAATTATCCAACTAATACAGTTTTGCAGTCTAAGAAATTAGAAGTGACACATTATTTAGCAACAAGAAAAAAGTCCTTCATGATGTTTTTCCAGTGACGAAACAAGTTATTGAAAGCGGACACTGACTCAGTCTTTAATGGAAGGGTCACAACTGAATCTAATGGATTGCCCTGTTGCACAGAACAAACAGATGACTCGTAGGTCTGATTATGTGGTGGGCATATGATGGTTTCTATAAATAGCTCTTTGGGTTCTGTGGCTATAAATATTGCATTGATTTATCGAGCGAGAGGCGCCAGATGCACGTTGCTCAGCAATGCACAGCAGTGATATCTTTATATGTTTTTGCCTTTAGTTTTTTCGTGAAATCACAGGAAGTGTTCAAACCATACTGATTTTGGATGCCAATCTCGAGAAAATACGGTCCGATTCATGTGACTTCTTAGATCACTGATGAAGACAGATGTTGTCTCTTACCTTCCCCTCTGGCAGCCCAGCGCATTTCCCCTCCCTGTGGCTCAATGATGAGGTTTGCTGTGGATCCTCTAGGAAAAAAGTGCTGCATAGCCTCCAGGTCTCCTGTATATAAAGCATTGTGGATGACCACATCGTGGCAGACAGCTGGTGGCAGGGACTTCAGCAGTGCTCTGTTGTTGGCCTCCTTCTTCAGCATATAGCTACTCAGATTATGAGAGGCAAGTTGCCTGCTGTACTTGTATCTCTCTAGCGTGTCCTTGTCAAGTTCAAGAGAACGCAAGGCCATGGACGTGAAGACAAAGCTGCCTCTCGACATGCTTGTTGTGCGATATGTGTATGATTATGTCTAACAAGTCCCTTCTCTCTGTTTCTGTTGTTATTTCACTCTCTCTGGCTGATGTCCACTTTGTACCCGCCGGCTGTTCACAGGGTTGATTCACAGAGTTGTTTTGATATTCGGCATGAGACCCTCCCTGCAGCGTGACAAGTAAATGCTATTTTTATGTCTCACACGCAGCCACTCAAACCTCTCCGGTTTGCCTCCAGCAAAGTTATAAAGTCTCTCTGTTAGGCTGCTAGTATCAAACCCAGTGCATGCTGTTTTAAAAGTAATACAATGTTTACTAAAATCACATGTAATTTAGCAAAACTTTACCAAAAGGAGGCTTAAAAACTACTGATTTTCAGTGTGGTTCTTTCAACTTTCCCTACTTTAAATTTATTGAGCATAATAATTCTGAAAAGTCAGTGGATGTGAACCTTTTTGTCCACTGTTCACCTTCACCGTTTTAACAAAAAAAAAAAAAACATGTTAAAAAATAAAAAATCTACAGACCTATAAGGTCAGATTTTGCCGTGACATTTTTCTTAGAGGAAGAGCAAATAAGAATGCCCTATTTGTAAGCCCCCGAGTAGCTAGCAGAATGCCTTTTTCAGCTCAGTATTTTTTTTCCAAGAGCTTTAATGGATTTTATGTATCCACATGGCTCCCTGCATTAGAACATTAGGCTGAATGACTGGCAACCGCTGTGTCACTCTGCCCCACGTGTAGTGTTCTGATGGCGGAGGGACGGCACGTAATTAAGCCTCTTAAGCCTACTCGCTAGGCATCTGACAAACATCTCTTTTGACTGATGAACAACCATTTTCCAGTGGTAGAAATTCTACCCAGCAGAAAAAACCTAAACAAAACAAAAAAACCCCAAAACAAAATAGATCTCACAGCTCTGTAGACACCAAGGATGCAATTTCATCTCTTCAAAGGGTGACCTTCAATTTGACACCATCACCATCTAATTTTAGCAGTATTTGATACATTGCGTATCAAAAACACACTTTTTAAGGTGTACTTATCCGCCTTCGTGTTGGAGTCTATTAAGATGCCTGCAAGCTCTGCGGAAAACAAAGTTTGCGCCACAGGTGGAGGAATACACGATATTGGCGAAGAGGTTTTACCTTCTTTTCTACTCGAAAACACAGAGGCAGAGCCGCATCTCATCTATACCTTAACGACTGTTCTGGTATGGAAATCAAGGTCATTTATTTTATGTTACAGTTGGTAATAGATGCCACATTAAACTGAAGGCGAGTAAGAGTTTCAACTTTGAAAACACACATTACCAGAGAGAGACTAGGAATATTGTTTTTGCGGCTGGAGTACATCCTTTTAAATGATATACATAATGAGTTTATAATATGCATCTGGGCTACCTCCTCTCTACTTTGATGTCTTCCAAATGGCCCGGGTGTCATCAGCAAAACATGTAGGCACTTTCCCGCCTCATTGACTCCCAAATGTATTTTAAATATCATTCCTGGTAACGCAATTATTTAAAACGCTGAACTAAACACTTACTAATGGGGAAAAAGACAGCCACTTCGATAAATTCATTTCTCAAATGGTGGGCATTCGTGTTTCCTTTTTTCCCCCCTTTCTCTCTCTCTGTGAAGCGGAGGCAACTCTGATGATAACAAAAAAACATCAGCAGCAGTAACACCCCCTGCCCTCACAGCCCCCTGTGGACATATTAAATCTATGGTTTCCTCACATTACCCACCAGTAGCTGCCTCTCCAAGGCTTTCTGCATTGTGGTCAACCACCTTCCTATCCCAAGGCAGTCAGTAAGAGGCTGGACATCAGCAACGGCCCTGATGAGCGCGAGGCACTTCATTTATGCAATCATAGGCAATTAGTTCCCTCTGATTATGAGGCTCTTAATGCTATTTTGAGTACTGTGTGCCACAGTACTACAGAAAGAAATTAAACTATAGCCCTCCCTCCACACTGAGCAGTCATTTAATATACTGGGAACATAATGAAATGTACACAGTAATTACAGTAATATTAAATGCTAATGGGTTTGCAATTGGCTCTGCTGTTAGCTTAAGAGAGTCAGAAAGACAGTCCAAGTTTAGACATGGATCAATTATCCATCAGGTGTTTCTTATCTTAGTGGTTTATGTGTTATTTCATGTTATTCCTATCAGAAAAAGCAAGATCAGTGCCTGAGCAACTCTGTGCTGGTTAATACGCTAGATACACATTTCAGCACATGTCTCTGCCATGAAGTTTGCATTCAGGTCGTGGAACAACTGATAAGACATGATAGGCAAGTTTAATTGGCTATTGACATTATCTAAAGACAAGCTAGCTGTTGCATTTACTGTATGTATTTTCCGATTTTAATCCGGGCTCACTTGTTCTAATTTTCCTTGTATCATACTATAGTCCATCCAGTCGTAGTACGCTAGGCACACACAATCTGCTTTGCATATTTCATGCCATTAAACATCTTGGATAACTAATCAGCAATGCTTTGCTTCTATACATGTGACACATAAAAGTCTACAACTGGGCTTAGGTGAGGTTTCCTGTTTGCAAATTTTCCTCAAATCTCATCACAATGCTTGAGATGTTGGTGAAGAACCTAAATGAATTTATAGAGCCTTGAATTGAACAGTAGCCTCAGACCATTCAGTGGAAGCATGATTACTTTTTCTGTATTCTTTCAGCCCTTAGCCCACTACCTATAATGTATTGTATGGGTCTTTGCAGATTCCAATTGTCTCTCAATGCACTGATCACCACGCAAATAGCCCTCTGTTTCATCATGACAATTGAGAGGTTCATATTTCAACCTAATAGTCCTGTATAACTTTGACCATCTATCACAACCTCATTTCATTGCGGTTGCAGTTAATACGCGCTTCCCTGCCAAGTGGAACATTTTCTAATGATGCACTCTCACATGAAAACAAGGCAAGTCATCCCAGGCTCTGCATCACTCACTAATGCACCCATCCATAATGTGTTCATAGCAGTCTGCCTAAAGGAGACAGCGATGACTACTACTAGGCATGGGCATAAGAGGGGATATGGGGAAGAGTGCAAGACACAAAACCTAAATGGCCACGATTATTATGAACAAAGTCACTGCCATTAAAGGCCGTATCACCCTCATAATAACGTCTCTAGATTTCATATCATTACCAAGAATACTAGGAAATATCTGAGATGGTATCTCAACAATAACAGTCAGTGGCAACCTGCATTATCACAGTAAGTCTGGCTTTGTGGGACGTTGATAAGTGCAGTCTAATAGGTGTATGTAAAGCCCGATGTAAACACCATCCTAATTAGAGAGACCTTTATCAGTTCCTCCGCTTTATGCAGATTGAACTGGTGCAAACGCTAGTGTCATTATCCTGTAATCAAGTAGCATTCAGCTGATGGTGCCGTCTCTTAAAAACCTGATTATAATGCATAACAAGGACACAGTGTTGCTTTATCTCCTCTGTTAGTTTATAAATATTTTAATTTTAAGGATGACCTAGCCAGATAAAGATCTTGCAGGGGTTTGCATGAACTCCATCATAAGTGAAAAGATTGCTGTATTTTAAAATATAAGTAAACGCAGTAGTGTGTATTTAGTCAAAAACAGCAAAAAACTAATGTTGACAGCATACCAAACTTCGAAACTCATAAACACCACTAAGTTTTCCTTCAATTAAGTAATTGCTCTCTCTCTATATATATATTATTTTATAAAATTATCATCTTATTTTTTCCATTATCATGATGGACAAAATTTCAGAAATAACTTTTAAAAATTATTTCTTTTACTTTGTTTTTTTTTTCTTCTTCTATTTTCTCGTAGCTGAACAGCCAATCCGGAAATGAGTTCAAATGATTAGTGACCAAAACCAAAGACATTTTTTTGTTTCAGTACCTGGCATAAGTCAGCATACACTCACACATGTTAAATAAACCTTCCTTCATTCTTTCATCGTCGTCAGGGTTAACAGGATGACTTGCTAGCTAGCTAAGCTATAGTTTAGCTAATTTACTAACGTCACTTTTCATAGTTACAACCGCCCAGGTGCTTCTGATAATATCAAAACTGTTATGACGATGATGATGACGATGTCTGAAGTGAAAAAGAGACTATTATTTGTGGTCGTACAGACTATGAGGTCTCGAATCATTAAAGAAAGTATACGTTAAAAAGAATCAAGGCGATATTACCTGGCAGTGATCAGGTTCA